AGGAAAGAGGACACAAAGACACCGAACACTGAAGAACAAACAAAGGGAAGCTGATACTGCTGATGAGGACAGGAGCTGGCAGAGAGGAAGCCCTTAAAAATGCTGATGAAGAGATAAAGATCCTGAAACTCGATCCTGTCCCTGGATAAAAGGAACAAAAGCAACATCGGGCACAATAAACACGACGATGTTCAGCTAATCTGCTGCCTCTGACTCGATCATGTTCACTGCTTCAGTCTCTTCCAACCAACACAGCACATAATCACTAGAACAATTCATTCTTGCAGTAGGTACTCATGCAAGCGTTTCCAGCAGAGCTATCGACGTGTTGTGGATTATGCACCAGTGCTGTCGATGGAAAATATGTTTCAAAGTTACACAAGACCAGATAAACAGAAATTATTTGGCATATTTACCTCTCCTTCACTGATGGCAGCAAAAAGAAAAAACAAACAAAGAAGTTTGAACAAAATGAACACAGCTTTGTTTTCTCTGAGCGTCTCTCCTAAACTTCAGATTTCAGATCTTCTCTGGCCCAACCAAACCTTAAATTTAAACCCTTTGTTACCTGATAGCCACCTTAGTCAAATCTTTAATGTTGACATTAAAGACTTGACTATTTGATCTGTTTTCACTTAAAACAGATACAGAAAATAAACTGCAGTTCTTTTAATACCCAGCAGAGGGCGCTAACTCCCACTTTGCGAACCACTGAGGATTCAGGAAATCTTTTCCTTTCATGCTGAGTTACTCACTCTGGAAAATTTTACATTTCTTTAACTGTTTTTTTTTTGCAACTTAATTTATTTTAACACATATATAAAACTGTATATAAGCACATGTGTTATACTGATATAATATGTGTCATGACTTTTGAAGTAAAGAACCTGCAGTGGTACAGATGTGCACAGCTGCTGTAAACATGAGGACATTTGCAGTTTTACCTGCATCTGGTTTGGCGTGCATCAGTTTGAAGGGAACTTCCAGACCGACCTCGCTGCAGAGAGAAACCACAACAAACGTTTCTGTCTCATCATTTAATGTCTGATTCATCCTGCAGCAGTTTGCTGAGTGTCTTCAGCTCACATTGAGCAATACTGCTGATCCTAGAAACTGAACATCGTAGTAACTATGAGTGAAAACAAGGACACATGAACTCACCTCGACCCCATCATCCTGTGAGCGTGTTGGAGACAAAGATCAGAACAAGTAGAAACACGTTTAAACTTTTCAGGATACTAAAAGAAATGAAGCCACATTTCAAACACACGAAGAGGAGAGACTGACCCTCCAACGATGAGCTTCACCATGACTCTGTACGAGACCATGATCCCCAGAACCTCCTTCAGCACGCCGTCTTTGACACTTAAACGGAAATAACGGTTGAAAGCTTCATTTTTAAAAATCCTAACGGAGCATCAACGTTTGGAGCTGACTGACTGCTCACATGCTCGAGGAGGCCAGGTTAGTGTCTTCATGCTTCAGTTTGCCATCCAGAGCGATGCCCCTCCTCTCCCTGTTGTTAGCCAGCAGAGGCAGCATCGTGTAGACTTTCTGCAGCGTCGCTCCAGGAGACACCGAGTCCCTGACAAGAAAGAACAGATACACTTTAAAGGAAACACACAAAATAATCAAAAAGTTAAAATATCAGAAAATTTTAATGTTATATTTGTTACAATTTTCTGAGAAGTCCTGTTAGTTTACTTTAAAAGATCAGAACTAGAAGGTACGATGAACCTGAAGGCGTCTAACAATATGATGAAAAGCACAATAAACAATTTGATCCTTGTTACTTCTCATCGATTGTGATTAAAAGTGGATTGAAATAGTTCAGATCAAACAACTGAAGGAAGTGTCTGTATTTTCTGTCTTTGTTCAAATTTATAGATCCTAAAAAGGATAAAAGGATAAAATAATATTTCGATATCTAATGATTAACCTGCTCGTGTGGAAGTCAGTTTTTCTTTTTGGGAGAAAAAGATAAACTGCACGATACAGGTAAGATGATGAGTTCAGTGTGTCCTGACTTTTACCCAGAATCCTCGATATCCACGCATTTGGCATAGCTGTCATTGGAGTACAAAACCACGTTGGCAATCTGGTCAACTGGGAAAGACGAGACACAAAAAGACATGATGTTTAAGACATCAACTCTTATGTGTTTCCACATGAACCTCTGAGAAATAAATGAGCTCTTAAGTGTCGCGTTTACCGGAGAGGATGATGTTCTTGATGTTCTTGCTGGAGTTGTTTGTGACGCTAACGGTAACTTTGATGGGCTCACCGTGATAGTAAACCTGAAACAGGACACAGGGTCGGAGGACGTGAGCATGTGTCAGGATTATTCCCTGAAACTGATCAAAAACTAGTTGAAAAGGGAAAAAAATCACAGAAACCAACAATGAAAACCCGCCAAACCCTTCATGATAAAAACACGCCAAAGCTATGAAGTATCTGAACAACTGAAGCTTCAGACTTTGGACCCACCTCTTTGTCCAAACTGGCCTTGACGTGCAGCGGTTTGTCCGACATGACGAAGTCCCTGGTGGTCTCGACAGAGGGCGCTATCCCCTCGCCCTCCGGAGCGTACTGCACCTTCCTGAGCATCAGCTTCACTGTGCTCCTGTTGTACCAAAGAGGACAAAAGCATCCACATTAGACTAATTTCGTTCACTTCCAGCTGTGTTCCCGGCTCCCGTCCGATCACACCCGCTGACACTCACCGTTTGCGTACTTTGGTGTCCTGGCTCTCAGCGCTGAACGCCTTAATCTCAAACTCCACAGCACATTGCTGCAGAAGAGGAGAGACGAGAATGCTTCACCAGCCTGTGAGGCGTTCGTGTCATCGCTGCTGACTCGTGAGTTTGAATCTTACCTTTCCGACATCGCTGGGTGCTGGCTGGAGGGCCACTGAGCACGGCAGGTTATCGGGGAACTGCGAAGAAGAAAAACAAACGTCATCCACTGAATGCAGACAGTTCTCAGATCAAATAAAGTGAAATAAAACTCCTTCACAAACAGCTTGTTCTACAAACATATGGACTGTATGGAGACTGAGACAGAAGTGTTCATTTCCTCTTATGTGCCAGCATGTTAGCGTCTGTCTGTGATCCATGAACCAGTCACTTGTCCTTAACGGTTACAGTGATGATGTCACCACACTGGGCCTTAACGTTTAGCTCAGGTAGCAGAATGTCGAGCTGTCTCAGTTATTCTTATTCTTTCTGCCACAAAATCTCACCACACACCTGAGATTTGGCAAAAACATGAATTGAACCCAACATGCATGCACCTGAATGTCTATATGATTTTCTCCTAAGGCTGTAGATCCTGTCCGTGTTGCACTGTGTGCTTAAAAGGATTTTTTTGTCTTCATCTCATCCATCTCTGAGTTTCCCCTGCTTACTTCAGCAGATTTAAACTCAGGACTTCAGTTTATTTCTATTTGAAGTTTCTGCCTGTCTGCAGTGCCGCTGAAGCGTCACCTCGAAGAAGAACGGGTATGAGTTGTTTCCCAGCTTGCGCAGGAGCTTGGCCTGGACTCTGGTGTGGATACCCTTCTCGCGGTCCTGCAGGGGCGGGTACACCTGCCGGGTGGCCAGGTACAGCTCCCTGCGGAAGGCGATTCCCATCACATCCATGTCATCTCTGCCGTAGCGGAAGGTGCATGACAGCGTGACGAACACTAGAGGGCAGAAGAGACAAACTCAGTTCAAAAATCTCCTTTATATTTATATATTTATATGACTGGAATCTCTTTGAATCCGAGTTCAAACAGTCAGCGGTTTCGTTATTTTCATATTTAACCAAAAAACAATGAGAAGCAACTTTTCAAAGACGCGTCAGGCTGAGTATCAGGAAACTGTAGCTAATAATGAATCTAAATGTAACTCTTTTAATCCAGTGTGGCTGTGGCCACATATATGCAAAAGAAACTGTCCAATAAAATGAGCTCTGGTATTTTGTACAGACCTTTCCTCCCCTGCAGGGCCTCCGGGTCAACGAGGATGACGCCATCTAGTGGTAATAAAAACAGTAAAGTGGTAAAAATGAGATTTTCAATAAAACAAATTTACACTTTCATGTAAAAGGATGATCGAAATATTCAAACAGCAACGTAAAGACATAAATAGATCCAATAAAGTTTCAATCCAGATGCTAATATAGCTGGACATTATAAATGACATTTACTTTAATTTGTGCTGGTTATTTACTTTGATTATTAGTTTGATTTACCAGAAGTCCATCTGTCATGTTTCTATTCTCAACTTTGAGTTCAGTAAATTACACAGAAAATTCAACTGAACAAAAAAACCCAAACAAGCCAAAAGCTCTGCACCATCAGTGCTGCCGCACTACATCACAAGCAATGTTGAGGTTTTTCCCCCATTTAAACAACAGACTCACCCAGTGGTTCCACAGAATCAACACGGTCCACAAAGTCTCTTTTACCCATGTAGACTCCAACCTGAAGGAGGAAAGAAAGACTTGAAACACCACATCCAAGAAGCATCACCTAAACGCACCTCAGTTTGTCCAGTTTGTCTGCTCCAATTTCCTTAATGACCGAGGTCTACAATGACCGTGATCTGAGTCCAGACACCTGCAGCTCAGGTGGGAAATAGCTCAACTAATAAATCCGAGTCGGCGTCACAACAGGTCTGATATTGATTTGATTGATCAGCATTCAAATATCTCAATAAATACAAAACAAAGATCTACCACAAAGCAAGAAAGCATGAGACAAGGCTAATCAAAAGGTATTGGCTGAAGCATTTGCTTATTACGCCAACCCTTTTAACAAAAACATCTTTTTGCATGCAGCTCCTGTACACAGGGCTCGAAGCAA